AAAGAGGTGAAGGCAGAGGATTCTCTAGAAGTGATTCAGAGGCAAGAGACATGAGTTTTTCTGAGCCCTTTCTGAATTGTGGAATGGGGCTGGGCACACAGCTGGGTTCCAGAATGACCTACTAACCACAGCTTCCCTAATGGCTCATTTTCTCCTGCAGCCAAACTGCTAATGAGATGCATACAGTACAAGAACAATAGCTTGGCCATTTTCATCTTATGAGGGATTAAAAAATTATGAAGTTACACAGTAGTTCAGCAGTTCTTTTGGTATTCACAGGATGCTTGGGGCTAAAAACTAGTTACTATAGAATATTAATCTGAAAGTATTGTACGTCAGTCATACACAGTTCATGTACTAATCTGGTAAGACAGAATGCTGGATGACTTTAAGGAAGCTGATACAACCACCTGTTGCTCCAATCTTGGACTTGCAGAATCTTGGACTTGCAGAATCAACATCATGGTTGTGTTGGTCATCAAATCCTGGAAATGAAAAGAACTTACAGAAAACAGCACCAAAACCAAATCTTCATAAATGAGATAGAAAGTAGAGGATGGATACGAAATTCTTTGAATACTCCATCTACATATGGGTATCTAGCCATAGAAATGCAGAGGATTATCTACCCTCTAAATGCATACTAGGGATAATTAAGAAATCTACTTTATATATAGCAGTTGAAAAGCTGATATATAGAAATACTCCTTTGCAATACAGAGATTATTGTTTTAGGTATTGGCAAAGTGAAAAAAACCCCACTTTAAAATATGTAGGGGATTTTAAGCTTTGTCAGAAGTTAATTTTTATGAAAACCAGATAGATTCATTTACCCAAGAATTAAGTTTTGTCATTATCATGAGGCATTTGACTGCTAAGGCATGTTTAAACGTTGGCTACTTTTGAGTCATAATACATGGAATTGATTGTGATCTTAACCCCTGGAATTTACCATTATTGTTGTAATAATGCTCAAAAAAAAAAAAAGAAGAAGAAAATATAAGGAAAGGGCAGAAGAGAGTGACCAAAAACTCATTTTAGATAAAAGAGACTTTAGGGAAGATGGAAATGAGTGCAGGCATTTAGGCAAATAAGAAATAAAGATTCTAAAAGAAATTTACAGCAGCTGAAAAAACTTCTGTGTGGCTGGATCAAAGCTCTGTGGATCATGAAGTTACTGACTCTGTCACCGTTGTCATGGTGCCACTGTTGCCATGGTGCCAGCAGCACCAGATTATCCTTTAGGAAACAGCCTGTGTGTCAGAAGGGTTAAAGGGTTTTCTTCCTTCAGGAGAGCTGAGCAGAGTCCGCCTATAAGTGATGTGCACCTAAGTGTGCTGTAATGCACAAACTCATTGCAGTGTCCCCTGATTTCATAGACTGACGGTCTCCAGTTAAGTCTGTCAGAGAATGAAAACCCTTAGGGCATGTCTGCACTTTGGTCAGGCTGTGAGAGTACGCAGTAGACATGCTTAAGTTAGCTTTAAACTAATAGGGAGAATTGAGAAGGAAGCCTGGTTTGCTTCCCCCCCTCCTTCAATGTATATTACTTTGGATTGTTTCTTTCCCTTGTTTGGGCTGCTCAGCTTTTCAGGTAGAATCATGGCATTGCTGTTTCCTTTGGGAAGAGCCATTATTTTGGTGGTTCAAGGTTAAAACTTCATTACCTTTCCTTGGAAAAAGGCGTATATCTGCTTAAGATCCATCCTTGTCAGTGCATTACTTAGTAGTGCTCCTTCTGGGCTGTGTTATCACCTGAAGCCTGTAGGTTAAGTGGCATATATTGTCTTGCTTTTCAACTGGTAACAGCAGACCCCAGAGCAAAGTTGAAAACTCTCACAATTTGGTTCATTGTATTGATTAATACAACTAAATCAATAGCTAGAGGGAAGAGGCTTTACAGGAGAGTTGGTCAGAGGAATTTTACCTGCATTTGCTGTATCTCTTTTTTAACCAGAGATTGTTTGCAAAAAGCCTTTGAGCTTCTAGAAATGATTGCACAGAAAGCCTTGTCATTGCAATAGGCAATATACTTGAAAGCTTCCAGGGAGGTTTTTATTTCTGGGTAGGTCATCCCCAAAGCTGACCTGAAATTGAACAGCTAATGCTACTTTGATTTTGGTCTGGTTCTGCATGCAGCATTCATTCAGATACTTAATTCTGCTCAGGATGGAGGAGATCTGTTCACAGCATCTGTAGCTGTTAATGGTGCTTTATTTTGATTGATGATCATGGGGAAAAAATATTACTTTTTTTCTACACAGTTTGTTTGTATTTTTTTCCCCTATGCTATTTACAAGCAATCCTGCTGTACTTGACATTAGTTCTAGTCCCATCCTGTCTTTCTTATGAGGGAGGATGTGTACCATGTCTGTCATCTTTAGGAGGGATTTTTGCTGCCAACTAATGGCAGGTTTCCAGTGATGGTACCAGCCTTCCACAATCAGTGAGCTTACCGGTGGTCTTATTGGTGCCTTTCCTTGTTCACTGCTGACTTTCTGCAGTTTGAAACCTCACAATCACCACCTGCTCTATGAAGATCTCACCTCAAGTCTGGTTTATTTCAAAAAGATTTGTGAGTACATGCTGGACCACTTCAGTCAGGGTTTGGACAAGGGAGATCTCAGTCCCTCAGTGTTTTTTCCATGTATTTGGCTGTCCCAGTTCAATGCCTTCATCTGTTCATCTGTTTCTGTAGCTACTGAATGTCTGTGAATGAAAGTATTCCTGCTAGGGTGCAGAGAATTTACCCATCTGGCGATGTTTGGTTGCCTTAAATTTGGATATAGCAAAGCCAAGGAGAGCTAGAGAGAGATGGCTTGTAGACAAGCTGAGATGAAAAATGTGTGCAAACAGAGGAATGATATTAATAGCTTAGAAAATTCATGTGAATTAATGAATACGGAAGATGGCATTAAAATATTAGCTATTCCTTTTTTTCTATTCTGAAGATTTTTGGTTTGTTTTTGCTATACTTCCATATCTGACATAACATTTTGTGTGCACATATGTACATATGTTTACTCTGAAGTAAGCATATGTACAAAAGAGATGTAACTCTGAAATCTGGGAAATTATTTCAGTGGCTCTCCTTCAAGAAACAAAAGATTATGTGTTTTTACTGATGTTTACCTGCTGTAATTTTTACCTTTTTGGTAGTACTGGATTATCTTGGTGTAGCTGTTTTCAGTGTCACTAACAGTGATCCATTTCCCTGGTGATTTTTGATGATTATCTTAGCAGCTGGTTAAACCACGCAGAAGAGGGACAAAACGAATATTATGTCTATAAAAAGCTTGATATTGCTTTAATTCCAACAGTAGAATGAAAACAAAGGTTATGTACATCAGAAGCTTTTTCCTGATGTTTTGAGAAGACGATCTGATGGTAAATAGAATGATTTATTTTGAACAGTGAGTGAACTTGATGAGCTGTTTCAAAACACTGTCTTTGGAAAAAATACGCGGTTTTGTAAGGACAGAGGTTTTGGCAGTTTGGGGAAGTGAGGTTACAAGGATTGGCTCTGTGTGCACAAATTAAGGAAAACTTTTGTAAAGTATTCTGTGTTCACTTACAGCAAGAACTATGACATTTAACTTTTTAACAGTTTAAAAGTATCAGAGGCAACATACTTTTTATGTGGTGTGTACAAGTATGGTTGTAATATTAACAAATCATGGTCATGTCAGGACTAAATCCCCCCCATATCTTTCCATTTCAAATAGGAAGATTAAATCAGAATCTAAAATTTGAAAATGTCCTCATCTGTGTTCTTGGCTGTATAAACAATATGTTCTTGAACAGCTCAGAAATGCTAGATATTCAGAAGCTACAGCCAGCTTCTGCAGCTTGAAAATCTTTTTCTAAAGTAATTGTAAAGTCAGGGATGAAAGGAATCAATGATAATTTCGTCAAGAATGACACATTTATCTAGCCCAGTGCTGGCTGGTTTTAACTGATCAAGATTTGACACACTAGTAGCTGTGGTATAACCACAGCTGGTCAATGGGGAAGGCAAGACAGAGAAGAATACAGAGTTCCACATTCCTGTATCTCCCTGGATGCAAGTTCCTGCTTTGCCAAGGACCAGGAACCCTTAGAATGCCATCAGACTTACCAGAGTTTTCTGATGTTATGTGTTCAAGAAAAAGATCTAATAGGGATGTTGGCTCAGTAGTGATCTTGCCTTTTCTTAAGATCCTTCAGCAAGAAATTCTCCAAACAGCCTATATTTTTTTATTTTGTAATCTATAAAACTAAATTAATTTCTAATTCTAACATAAATTCCATTTTCCCCCAATCTTTTTAAAAAACAATTATGAAACAAATTTTACTGTCACTTCTGAATCCTTTTTCTTGTCTGATCATGATGTGATTAGGAGAAAGGAGATCATTCATGCCATGAGTTGTGCAGGGGTCTGTCTATCCAAGTTTCTTGGGAACTCTTTAAAGATAGTAGTAATAGTGCGTGCCTCCACTCCCGAGTCACTAAAGCAGATTTACAAAAACCAGATGCATGAGAGCATATTCTTTCCTATACCTACTTTTTTCCTGTGCAAAGGTGATTTTGAATGCTGGATTTGTCCCTACTCTACAACAAGTTCTTCCACACATTAGGATATTCGTGCTTTATGGATCTTAGTCTGTTACCCAGATCTTCAATGATGCTGTTGTTTTTCTAGTAGCCAGTAATTCAGCCTGATAAGTGGCAAACTGGAGCTCTGGAATTAACTCCCTTCTTCTCTTTGGATCCTGAAGTTGGGCACTGTTTTGTTCTTGAGAACAGCTTGTTAAATGTAAATGACAATGTAAACAGTGTACGGGATGTTTTATGGCATCCAGGCCTGTCTTTGGTTCCCAGAATGATGTTGATCCTTGAAGTTTTCACCCTTTTCTGTGGGGATGGGGACCTGAATTTTGGAATGTCCTCCAATGAAGAAGTTTGATACCTCTTAACTGGCTGAGTTGCCCTCTGTTTTTTTCTCCTGGTTCTTGTTCAGTCCCTGTATTATTACCTGACTATTCAGGCCCAGTCTTTTGTGTGGAGGAGATCAGCCCACTCTCCTCTTATGCACAGACCTCTTCCTAGGTAAGTATCCATCACAAGGATATGCTGATACACCATGTAAAGAACTAGAACTGGTTTGATTGAGATAACAAACACAGTTTGAAATACCAAGATTTTTAATAATTTTTAAAATTACTTGTAAATAACACAGTGAAACTACAGAAATAGTTGAAATCAAGAAAAATAGGTGTTAATAAAGTGTTCCTTTAAATGGGTCTTTTTTCCAAAATACAATGGAATGACACACTAAACTTAGATTTATTTTAGGAAATAATATTTTAACCTTTTTAACCTTTTTTTTTTTTTTTTGGTGCAAGGAAGGGTTTGAAATGATTTCTTAGGATAAAATTCAGCTCACATGGAAATGTTTTGTTAAGTGATGGTCCACTTGGATTTTTTTCCTAATCATGGAAAGCTGTGTCAGAATTTTGGGAGAAACTTTCAGGATATGGATGTTTTTAAAGTAGCTTTTGCACTACTGCCTGCTCACAGTTCCTTTAAGCAAATAAATAAACGGAGTCTATGGAGCTGCTCCTGTTTCTAAAATAGTTGATGTTCAACCAGCCAGTCTGTATAACTTGATAGAATAGTGACTGTATGTCAAAATCTTCAGGACCTTCGTTCAAAATGGTTGTATTATAGCTGAATAAAATTTTCCTTTCCATCTCTTAATTTTAAAGATTCAGCATCAAAATATATTTGGAAATCGTTAACTTTAGTTTGCCCTTTAACTTGCTTTCTTTTGTCTTGCAAGCTCATTCCTTTTCCTAAGGCATCTAAATGCCTAGGAGGACAACTGTGACCTTTAAAGTGAAGAAAGAGAGATTACTGCACTTAGCTTGTTGTGATTTGGAGTTTTTTTAAAGGCCATTCAGAACATCAATGTAGGTGAGGTTTTTTTCAAACTAAATGTGCACTTAAAACACTTCAAAAGATGCTGAAATGTACTTAAAGGAAAATTACCTTCTGTACTATGTCCCTAGATTTTTCCCCTGGAACAAATTATATAGTTAGCTTCTCTGAAGACTTGTTTTTCATTTTTAAATATATTCCTCTTTCAAGGTAAACAATCAAAGGTGGACATTTTAGCAATGTGTTTTCCTTTTGGTTTGTTTTGTGGTTTGTTTTTTTTTTCTCCTTACACACGCTTACTTCCAACCCACATTTTGTCTGTCTTTGGCACTGAGACACTCTTACATAATTTTTAAAAAATAGAGCCGTGTTCAGCTATAATAGTCCAAGAGGCTACAACCTTCATTTTTGCAGAGGTTTGGGATGATCGCAGTAGAATGGTGTATTGTTTCTGATAAGGCCTGTGTTGGGAGGGTTCTTAAATGCCTGTTTCTCTGCTGTTGGCCTCGATTCTCAAGTTTCTAATAAACAAGGCACTACAAGGGAGTGGGTGACACAACTTTAAGTTGTGCCACTTCTCAAGTACAGCTCTTCAGTTTCTTTTGGGAGAAGAGCTTAAAGAAAAGAATGCTCTGTAGATACCACAGCTGCCATACTTTGTTCATTTCTGTTGACGTGCTCGGTAATTAGTATTGTGTATTTTTATGTAATGAATTAACGTTAACCTAAAATAAACTCAGTACAGTTAATTCTACAAGCATTCACACTGATGTAAATGAGAAATAGTTCCTTGTAGGTCAATGCATCTGCTGCAATGTGTGTAAGGAGAGAATCCAGCCTGCTATAACAAGATGTGAATGTATTTTAGAGCGCTGCATTTGAACTGATGGATATCTAGCCTCGGAGCTGTATTTAGGTAAAGTGCATGAAAGATTCAGCTCCTGAATGGTTAAATTCCACTGTTTCGAGTAGGTGTCAGCTCTCTCTGGCTGCAAATGACTATGCATGTGCACAGTTGCAATATGATCTGCTTGAGTTTTGAAGAATAATTCTACGTTTATGACTTGTTCTTTGTCGGTCTCTTTTTGGTACATATATTCGGTTGTATGTTTGCTTGTATGTATACATAAAAGAGTGTAGGAGTAGAGCTGATACACATCTCTGATTTTCCCTTGGAATAGGAGCTCACTTTTTCCGTTGGTTTTAAGCTTTACATCATTGCCTGTGTTATACACTGCTGCAGTTGGCAGTGGGAAAATACTTAAGTCAGATGAAATTAGTATCAGGAGGTATGTCTGTGATTGTATTGATACCAGCAATTTTGCATTTGTGCAGGAATGGAGTGGGTCTGCAGTCTTGTGGTATCCTGCCTGGATCAAGTCCATCTCCTGCTTCATTTCCTCTGTCAGGTGCCTGGTCTATAGGCAAATGGAGAAGAATCAGAGTGTGATTTATGGTAATGTCAAGGAAGGAGAAAAGCCATCTGTATGCCTGACTCTTCCTAAAGTAGGAAACATCCCCAAATAGGCCAGAGGAGGTATTCATTGTGTAGTCCCCATTGGGCACCGTCGCTCCTGTGTGGTGCATACTACCGTTGCATGGTCTTACTGCTAGCTTTAGATTATTGTCCCCTCTCCAGCTAACTCTTAGAGTGGGGCTGGAGAAGTGACATACAACCACCTCTTCTTCATCTGCCGCTGCTGCTTGTGATCCTGCACTGATTATATTCCAGGCAGATTCAGAACCCAACTTTTAAAATGTGGCCGTAACAAATGTAGTGGGTATTGACTGATACACTGTTAGTCCAAGCTCTGGTGCACAGAATCCACTATGAAATGGTATTTGCTTCCCTAATGCACACATAGTAGTGTTTTAATAAGTAATAGATTACGGAATGAAGTTTCTGCTGTCTCCCCTGGGAGTCAACTAGGCAAACAACGATTAGGAAATCTTAGCTGATAATTGTTTAAATGTTTTGTTTCTTAATTTCATCTTTTTCCTTGGGCAATTTTGTATTATTCTAAATAGTTCCTTTCATTCCTCAGTGCTTGTGTTTTCCAAGTATTTGTAAACCACTACCAAGTCTTCCTTTCCCACAGGCATTGCTTATCCTAACTGTTGACTGAAAATCAATCCCCCCATCTAATGACTCTGTCACTGTTCTTTGAACTCTTTCCATTTTACATTATCCATCTGGCAACAAAATGTCCAAAACTGCACACAGGCTGCAGATGTGGTAGCTCTGTAGCTGCTGAGGCAGGGATCTGTATGTCAAGATCTAGCTGTTTCTGGGATCAGTACTAGGAAAGTATAAAATCATTTCTCTTCAGCTTCTCTGCCCAGGACACCTTGTGGTAATGAGAGATTTGTGATATAAACCTACTGAAGTTGTGGGTTTTTCCTTTACCCTATACCCTGATAATTTTTCTTTTTTTATTTTTTTAGTACATCCATAAACACATTTTAAGCTCTCATTCTCCTCAAAAATGCAAGGCTTTCCAAACATGGGATCTGACTGCTCTCCCCAGTCTGTTGTTGGCAAGTAAAAGCCAGCAGGGTTCTATGCCAGGCCAGGTGGGATGTGTGATAGAACCCTGCTCTGGTTCCCTGCCCTCCCTCTCCTGTGTCCTGGGTTCTGTAGGAGTCAGAATTGAACTGTGATGCATGACTGTCATACTGTTTTCTCCACTGGTTTCCCAGCCTGATGTTTTGCAGCATGTTTTGCCCACGTTTTCTCAGCAATACCCCACAATCAGGTTCCTGCCCTAAGCTAGCTGTGCAGCTCTTGTGTCCCTGTCTGCTGGGTCCTTGTCTGCTCTTTCTGACCTGTCTCCAACTGGCTGAGGGGGAAAGGAGGTGCCTGTATGTGGTCTCTGTACTTACATTGGGAAGAAGGCTGGGCAGGAGGGTAAACTCTGTCTTCAGCGATGCCTCGCTGTTTATCACAGACCCATTTGGTTTCTCCTGTACATTGACTGTCTATTTTAGGTACTGGATCTACTGCTTAAGAAAACAAAAGAAAAAATAAAAGGAAAAAATATGACTGCATATACAGAAATTAAATTTCAGCAAAAGTATTCCAGTTTTCATTTGTGATAGTACAAGTTCACAAAGTGTTTTTTTTTTTTTTTAAATTTAACAGGTTATCACTGCTAGCTTATCACCATTCTTCTTTGCCATGACTGCCAATGTACTAACAATTTCTTGGTAAGTGCCTACACGAGCTTTTTTCTTAACAGTAAAAATGAATTTCCATACAGTGCTTTGTGTGGAAATACTTTTAAATGTCAAGTTCTATTGCTGCCAGTATTATTTTGCATGTAAGGAGAACCAGGTGTGCAGTGATGGATGCAGTACAGATATAAGAAGAGTGTTTCTTCTGCCTCTGTGGGAGAACATGGACATTTTGGATGTTAAGCCTTGCCACAATTCACTCAGCATGTTTTACCGCTAGGCAAATAGATGCAATAAGCAAATAAATGACCCATCAAAGTCATGCTACAATTTAGTGGCAGAATTGGAAATAAAACACTGGAGCCAAGGTTTGCTGACATCGTTTTAACCAAAAGGGTGCATTCAAGTTTCCCTAACACACTGTGTACTGTGAATGCATAAAATGAAAACAGTAGAAAGTAATGATAATAAACTTTTTCCAAAGCTGTATCTGGATTTTGAAATGTGTGGCCACACATTATGAATGACATAACCTGAATTTTTTTAGGTATTAATAGAAAGGATTGTGGTGCAAACTCCTTTGGTGAAAGGCAGTGTTTTTGATCTGTGTTTGTATAGCACCCAGCAAAAGGGAATCACAGACCATGGCTGATGCTCCTAAATGCTTCTGCCATGCAAATAACATCTCAATTTGGGATTAGGCATGTATCTCTGAGGATGGCTTTGTTAATGGAAATAAAAATCTGCCTACTTTTGAAAAGCTTTAGTCTTCCTTTTTGTACCTTACAGTTTGATTGCCATCCTAAAGACTAAGCTCTGCACTGAGTGGAATTAGCATATTCTTTTTTCAGGTGTGATAAAATTGTTACAGAAAGAAGAATCTCAGTGCAAACCAGCCCCGTTTACCTGTGTGTGAATATGCATTCCTATGTGTATTTTAGGCACATGTAATCTCGAGTGCTGAAATAAGTTGTGTATTTTTTTTAGTGCTAGGAATACACGTGACCTGTGTGTAAGAGACTAAACTAATATCAATGCACCTACAACACTCCTAGTCTAGGCCATTACCTTGCTGCTCTTCACCGTGTTTTACATGTGTTTGTGCAGGTCTATCACGTGCGTGCTAGAGGTAGGCTCGGATTAAATATATGTATTCGCTGACACGTGTACTAAAAAATAATGTGTACCTTTGTTAATGTGAGCACGTGGACCCATGTAGTTGCACACATACCACATGCCCTGTATGCACTTCAAGTTATATAAATGATGGACACTTCTGTATGTTTAAGAGAAACTTTGCTTTAGCCCTTGGGCCACTGTTACACTTTGATTGTCATAATTCAAAAAGAAAATCATTTCTTTTGTTTATTTTTTTAATTTGAATTCTCATATTGCTTGTGCATCGGCAATGTCTTGGCTTATCAGCAAAACTTTGGGAATAGTTTTTTAGATCATAGCAGCTGCAAAACACTCATGAGATCATTAATCACTGAGGATTTTAGTGTTGCTTCAGTGTTGTCATGGACAATATCATACGTTAATTTTTGAATGACAGGCAAATGCAGTTAGCTGTCACCCCACTATAAGCAGAAGCTGAAGGATTTGCCAGATGGTAAACTGAAGGTAAATCAAGGGTTGGCATTTAGCCGTGGTTTTTGCTCTGCTTTATCTTGAAGATGGTTTCCAGTGGCCTAGTAATCTGACTTCTTCTTCTCTTATGTAGAATGTGTGATTAATTAAAGAACAGTTTAGATGCAGGCATCTTTTTACAGAATGGGGCTGTGCAGTTTACTATCTTTTGTACAGAATTGCCAGTCTAATTTTTGGGATGGTATGTCAAAGTTAGGTTTGTTTTTTAAAGTCTCTGTTAAAAATTTGGAAAATTACTCTGTAGAAATGGGAAAAAAAAATTTCTAAGTCTCTGTTGATTTTAGGTCTTCTACATGAAGTGTTTTGTTGTTTTTTTTTTCTTTAGGATAAAGAATACATTATCCAACCTTAGTTTCCAAAGAAATTAATGCAGAGTGTATGTTTATAACTGGAGATGAAATCCAGGCAAGACAGTGGGGTTAATCCTCTCCAAAGAAAAGCACTCGAAGGTTGTTAGTGATCACAGGCAACCAGACTCAAGTGGTTTAGATCTTTTCGAAAAACTTCCAGCCCTCTCAGCCCTTTGCTCCTTGTTGGTAATTCCACACCAAGGTAGTCTGTCTCCCCAGTGGACTGTCTACAGACTGTCTGTAGCACCTACTTTCCAGGGCTGTTTACTGTGTAATTGTAAGATACTGTGCTGTTGTTATACAATATTTTTTCCCTCTCAGGAACAAGGGCAATTATGTGGTTTTTAAAACAGCTCACTAAAGCTATGATTTAAGTGAACGTAATACTATTAGACCAAAGAGCCTTCAGCCTTACATGCCTTTTTTTATCTTCCCAAGGAAAAAAAAAGCCCTCTTACAAATGAACTTAACAGGAGTTTGTTTTGTTTATAAAGTTCATTAAGGAGCTTTTCTGTTTCATAAGCTAATTAAGCCATGAGGCCAAGATGAAAGGTCAGTACACTTAGCTTTGCACTGTTATAAAAGGGGAGAAGAGTCGGCATCCTACCATATTCTTGTCATCTATGATAGATAGCAAAGAGAGGATATTTGGGGATTAACTATTGAATGGATTGAATGGGTTGATAGCATATTTCAGTGAAGGTTTTTGTAAAACCATTCATCCTGCTTCTAGCCTGAGTCTTGGAGGGAGGTGTTATTGCCTCCACTACGCTGTGAGCAGCACAGGAAGCGCTTGGGCACGTGTGCCATTTTGGATGGTGCAGGTTCTTTCACCATGTTCTGCACAGAGAGAGGCAAACACGAGCATTTCTGCTGGCCTCACTGTATCAGTGGGATCACACCAGAGCAAAAGTATTTTTCCCAAATTTCCTTAGTCCCCAAAACCTAGGCTTTACATCTCCCCTGACATTATCAAGTGGCAAGTTTTCAGGACAGAATACAAACAGAAAGAGGGAATCATTAAGCTAATGAGGTTCAAACTCCCTTGCCTTCCTTTCCTGTTCTTGCTAGTGTGGAGCTATTCTTGTAACTAGGGGCAACCTTCTCTATTTAGATTTCTGTCTATGCATTTTCACTGAATACCATCAGGACTAAAATATAGGAAAGGTTGTTTCTGATCCGATCAGTTAAATAAGACATTTTGGGTTTCAGCATTTTCTTAGCAAGACAAGTGAAAAAAATCACCTGGGTTACTGTCTCTAGGTTGAAATGTGTTTAGGTAAAACAATACCTTTGTTGTATCAAGTAGAGGGACTTGCCTGATGCTAAATTTGTGGTGTACTTTGTTTACAGCCTTGTAATCAGTGGAGTTGGAGAAGCATTGCTTGTTTACACTGAAAGGACAGGCACATAAAGAGGAACCAGATTTCGCCAGCTGGGAAAGAGCTGACTTGCAGCCTAGAGACACTATGATGAAAAAAATTGCGGCAGCAGGAATGAAGAAGTGCAACCAAACATGAGGAAAGAGATCTATTGTTTTTTCATTTAGAAAGAAAAGCTATGCTATTAATAGTGCTGGTAAGGAAGCTGCATAGTTGGCAAGATGATAAGGAGCCTTTGCCTCAAAGCACAAGACAAACTATATCAGATTGATGTGGTAAAGGAAAAAAATGCACTGTCTCATGCTGATGGCTCTGTGTGAGAACCTCTCAGTAGCAGCTTCTTGCACAGGGAACTAAACTCAGGAAAAGCAACATTCCACACTGGATGCCCCCAGTTTTTTTTTTATTGGAAGCTGACAGCAGGTCATACCAAGCAATGTCAGAGCCCAGATCCTGCCATAAATTCAGGATCCGGAAGGATGGATTTTGTCTCCAACTGTTCTGTAAGCAGCAAGCTGCCACACGCAGGTCTCTGGTCACGTCGTCTGAACTGGCACAGGGACTGAGGCCAAGGGGCTTCTGGAGATAATCCCCTTCTGGAACTGCAGCAGTTTGACAGCTTTGCAGAAAGGGAAAATCAGCAATAAATCTCAATATCTGTAGTGATTGCTCTTTGTGAGTTTTTTTTCCTCTTCCATTCTGTGAGATTTCTCTTGAACTCTGCAAATTTTTGTTGGCTGGTGGGGTTGGAGGGACACATACTGTTCCCAGCAGTGGTTTGTCTCTTAAATTATTGCAAGAGGCAACAAAGATTATGAACCTTGAATGAATGTCATAAAGACTGTAAAGCAATTCATCTCAGGAGTTCTTAAAATAATTTCATTTCAGGTTGCTAAATGGCTGTTAGAAACTAGTCTTGATATATTAGAGCCTACAGAAGCAATCTGTATGAAAGTAATATTAAATGACAAGGTGATAAGATTGAGGAAAAGGTCTACATGGTAAAAGGAACTCAATAACAAATCTTCAATGAGGAGAGGGACTTGTCTCACGTGACATTAGATATGTAAAGTGTAGTCCCTTAATCTAAGTTGACAAACTCAATGGAAAGAGAGGGGTGCCCTAAGAGAGATAATTTTCTGGAATAGGTTGCTGTGTTAATATGACTGAAAGATCCTCTGAAAGTGTTTGTCTGTAGATAGAAACAAAGTGAGTAGTCTAGACAAGACACATGGCCTTTACAAGGCTACAGTTACCAGAGGATATCTTCTTTAATCTAACAAAATGGATCCTAATGGCTTACCAGTCCATAAATTCAGACAGTTCTGGGAGTGATGGCTGCAACATTCTGGCTTTCCCCAGACAACTCTGCCAACCAGTTGTAGCAATACAGTAGAATCCTTGCTGTGCCACCTTTCTGCTGATTTTTGAAGTGAATAGTGACCCTAGGAGACCTCATGAAGGAGTCTCTGAGTGATTGCTGAGGTTTTGCAATCGTAGCTGGAAACTTTGCTGTGGGAAAAGCTCATCATGTACCTCTCTTCTTGCATAACTTTCAAGGATAGGCTGCAGTCTGGGTTTTTTTTTCTTCCTCTGTTTTGCCTGTGCTGTTCATAGCAATGTACCAAAACCCAGAACACCCATTTGCTTTTTTGCTGGTGGTCTCAGTGGAAAGGCAGTGGCCAAACCAACAGCCAGGCTTGTTGTAGCATTTTAATCACAGAGGGCATACTTGGGGTGGCTGTGGGAAGCTTGTTTGGCTGCAACAGGCATTACATTGTAAAGGCTCTGGGGGAATTCAGTCTCCGCAGCTACTGCATTAGTATCCCCCGCATAGTAAGTCCACTGCCTTTTTATTTAACTTCATGAATGTTAAACAACACTGAGCTGTTTACTTCTGCTTGCCTCTTTTTGTGCCTTAGTGCAATTTGCTTGCATTTCTAAGACTCTGCTTGAGGTAAGTAAAATAGTGCAGGTTTAAATTCATTGCTGTGTAAGCAAATCAAAGAACCAGAGTTAACAATGAAGTTGGGCTCCTTTCTCAAATATTAGTGGGAAGAAGAAGTACCCTCTGAACTGACCTGGCCTGCTTCAGGTGAGGGTGACTCCTGTGGACCAGCATGAGGCTCATCAGTCTTGCTGAAGACTCAGAGTAGGGTGGAAATAGAGCTTGATGGCCTTGGAAATCCATCTTTGCATATTTGGAGTTGTCTCAAGGTGCTAAAGGCATGGGTTGCCATCCTTGCTCAGACTGTGGCAGAGGGGGCAGCAGGGCTGGGGTCCAGTGGGGCATCTGCCTCTGAGGGAGGGCCTGTGAGCCAAGGGCTGGTTCAGCATTGATAGCAGTGAGCTGTTGGGGTCAGCCTATTGTAGGGGAAAAGGTGGTGGGGAGAGAGCCCTAAGGGGGTCTTCTGGCTGCTGGAACAAGTGGTGCCTTTGTCAACACATGTGTGCTGGGGTGGAGATGTCAACTGGGACATGGAGAGCTGTAGCAACTGAAAACCCCCTAGAGGCCATCTCAGCTGGCAGTGCCTGCCATACAAACCTAAAGGTGGGCTGTGGGAGGACACCTACAGGAAGACCCTGGCTCCTCACCACTGCCCTTGGGAAGGGGTGTGTTCCCACCAGTGGCACCCAAGGGAGAAGAGACATGGAGAGGCACTGTTTGGGCTCCCTGTCCTGGCAGCACATAGCCCCAGGCAGGCAATTGCAGCAGAGGGGAAATGTGGGGAGGGCAGACACATACTGGCTACTTGCAGAGGCTGGAGACTGAAGGGGACAGGGCAGAGCAATTTCCTGAGGAAGCAGTGGCCTGATCTTTAATTCAGCCCTTCCTCTGAAGAAGGGATGCTGCATGGTAAAAAACAACACTTCAGTGTTGTTAAAGTGATCTTCAAAGCAGGAAACCTCAGAATTTCAAGCTTAAAATGGTTCTTGCAAGACTAGTGAACAGTTATGCTCAATAATTTAGGGAAGAAATATGCAAGAGTGGATCATTTATATCTAACAGACCTTTTTTTCCAGTGAATCAAAAATAAAAAGTGACGAACATACAGCTCTGAGGAAGGAGGAGTTCCTTTACATTGTAATGTTGCAATGACACCAATTACTACCTGAATGCAAAGTGGTGGGTCTGCAGTTCAACTTACAGAAAAACCTCCGATTTTATCAGTATCCATCACTTTAGGAACTTACGGTCTGAAAACTCCCCAGTTCTTGGGTTGTCAACACATGAGACTAGAGAGAGAAATTGGAGTGTGCTGGTATTTCTGAGAAGCAGCAGATGCCTGGAGGCTGTCCTGTCATGGCGTTTTCACATCTACTAGTTTTGATCAAAACACTGACAGAGATGGTCCTGAATAAGGTAATACCTTTTTGATCTTATCTTGCTTACACTTTTATTTTCCAAATGTCTTTTTTTTATATTACAAAGTAATTGATTTGGGCCAAGGCTTATATTCTTTGTTGCAGTGGCATGACTCATGCATGTGGCTGGCCTTTGTCATAAAGAGCCTCTGCTTTAAGCCAGCTGCCATTGAATGAAGATTGAGACAGTAGAACTGCTGGATATGGAATACAAGTGGATTACTAAAATGCAGGCAACAGAGATTCCATTTTGAAACAATATTCTGGATCTGATGGCTGTAGCATAGCTTCCAGCAGAACATGTTATTAAATGAATTAAATGAACCTGATACCACTGAAACGATTCTGTTGTTAGTGTGTGGCGGTTGTGCGTTGGGTTGGCAGAGAGTCTACGCCAGTCTTTCAGGACCAGTTTAATACAGAAGCTGAAAATCTGCAGAGCAAGTGATCTTAGCAAAAAGCAGTGGGAAAAGCCTTTAAAATTATTTTTAAAAAAAGCACTGCACCTATTAAAACATTTGGTAAGGGATGGAATTCTGATTTTCTATTACCCTTTTTAACACCTATGTCTGAGTTGGTGGATGAGTGAATATATGGTTATGTTCTTGTTTCCCACCCGCAGAAAAGAAGATCTGAAGAATTCAGGAAATGTGATGTCAACATAGGACATGCATTGAAGAGCATGCTTTTAGCAAGTATTGTAGAAAAGGTAGTTCCTGGGAGCTGCACTGAGTGCTGAGGACAGGTTTCATCCAGCTTTGTTTTACCTGTAAACTATAGGAGGTAGTGGGTTGAAGAAAACTCCATAGCAAATTTGTCTTGCCCAGAGCAGAAGCTGAATGAACAGCTTTCAAACAGATCATCTGCTACTGTGAACCAGGCGACAGGCTCAGTATGAAACTTTAATCCTGTTCCAGAGGATAGACACAGGGACAGATTGATTTTGTTTGAAAAGAAGACATGGGTGAGAGGAAGGAGATTGGGGGCAGGACTGAAAAAAAATTGAGGCTGAAATACTTTTTTAGAAGGAGATAAAATGGGAAGAGATTTGCTTCCAAAAAATGTGTTTCTTATTCATAGGTTTGGGGAGGGGTTGTTGGTTTGCGGGGGGGGATTTGGTTGGTTTTGGTTTTGGTTTTTTAAATTAGGATATATAATAAATACATGTCTGTTTAGTTCCAAAAAGGAATTAGAGGAGCCCATGTAACTATTTCCATATTAATTGCCTGGTTTGAGAAGCTTAACCCTTTTTTAAATTATGTTTTGAAAGTGACATTGTGTAAGCCTTAATTTCTTATAGAAAATAGACTGGCTTTTTGAATAATGCTGATGAAAAAGTTCTGCTCTCTACTTGATCACTGAGGAGAGGAGTGTGCTTCCTCCTTACTGTCTGGGATGAGAAGCAGTCACACAGTGCTCTTCTTTTTCATAAATGTCTCGGCTTCTAGAATGGGTGGGAGTCGACAGTTGACATGTTAAGTTCTTGATTTGGTGGTATACAAAATCTCTTTGATAACCACACTGAGACTATACTTAGTATATTTTGTCTTATATTCTGTCATCCAGATTTAAAAAGATATAGCCCAGAACTTGTTCAGCTGTGAACTCATTGCCCCTATAGAGAAGCCTGTATGTAGAAGAATCTCTTAAAATGGGTGTGAGCCTCTCTCAGTGCTCCTACCAGGCAATGGGTGAAATCCCATAGCTGCATTCACAGGCATGACTGTAGGAGACCCTGCAACTGCTGAAGCTTTTTCTGCTTGCTGTTTGCCATCAGCAGTCCTGTACCTTTCATGACTCCTCACAAACATCATTTTGAGAGGAAGGCAAACTTGCATGTTTACAGATGAGTCTGTTTAGGAAGTGATTGCTCTAAGATTCATGTTAGTTGAAGTTCTTGAGGACCAGTACAACTTGGGAAGCAAATGCAAGGCCCATTTTCCTGTAGGAGTTTGATCCCTGTTTACACTTAAACTTCTGATTTCTGTACCACAGCCAGTGGCGAAAGCTGGTGCACCAACAAGTTTGTTTATGCTGGAGTTGCAGGCAACCAGTGCCTTGTGATACCGTGTAAGAACAACACCTGCCTGAAGCAAGCTGGCTGGATAAAACAACCAGCACAACCCCTTCGAAACTGATAAGGAGAAGGGTTGATGTTGTTTGAAGAAAATGGTTATTTGGATTGAGAAACTGGTCATTAGGCAACAAAGATGGAAAGGGAAGGTGGAGAGCCGGGAATGCTGCTTGCCATGCATAAGCACAGAAGGAGTATCACTAACACCAGATAGACTTACAA